AACGAGTGGAGTGGCTGATGAACAAGCCAATGCCAGAAGGTGTGATTTCGGAGTTCAAGGACCGATTAGTGAGTGGTTGGAAGCATACACGTTTAGATGTCCAGCCTGACGTGTATCCGTCAGACGGCAAACAACCAGGAATTCACATGGCGAAGTATAAGCATTGGATGGGGCTGGCGGCCGAGCAAGCGGGCAGGAAGGAGGTGCTCCCGCACATCACAATGTTTATCCCACGTTCGGCGAATTGCAAGCTTATGCAGTTTAGGCTTTGCTGTTGGGCACTGGCGGCTAACAGAGCGCGTAAGGGACGGCGTTATATACCTAGGGAGGAGCGAGTATGCCCCTGCTGCGGCACTGATAGCCACATCGAGGATGAGAAACACATTTTGCTGGACTGTCCGGTTTACGACGGAATCAGATCTGATATGGGCTTTCCACGCTTCGAACATATGAAGGACGCTATGAAGTGGGAACCTGGACGCCTGGCAAGAATGCTGGAACGTATATGGTCTCACCGCAACTCTATCGTTCCCTTTGGTCGTTAGTATACTTCATTACTTGTTTCGTTGGAAGTGCGAGGTAGGATGGTGCTTATAGGCGATTTGGCAGCCCTTGAGCCCTCGGCTCGTACTAGGGTGGTTTGCAGGTACGGGGAACGCACCCACGACCATGTAACAACAACAACAACATTTCCTTCAGGGTTTCCAAATTGCCCAGTCTCAAGTCCGCTATCATGCAGCTCGCAGCTATCAAGCAATCCGCATCTTGTATAGTGGGCCAACAGAATCATGCGGGCTCCCGGCTGCCCCTACATTCCCTGGGAATGTGCCCCTGAGCTAATTCCGGGTCGGCTTATGTGTCCAATATCGTGCCAATCACGAGGTGCTGTGTTCGATCCATCGTGCCAGCAACACGGGTGCTGTGTTGCCCATGCGGGGGTGCCCTGGGCAGGGGGAGGGCGAAATAGGAACGGAGCCCTCTGTCGCGTCATACGACTAGCATCGACAAAACACGTGCGTGCGGTCATGACCCCTCGAACACCCGGAAGGATGACCCCCCGTACCAAAGAACTGCTCCTGTTGCGCGCCCTTTTCGTCCTGAAGCAACTTGCTAAGCTCAACGGTTCAACGGCTGCGGTGGCTTGAGCTCAGCCATCTTGACAAAAACACTTCGCGGCACATACTGGGGCTGCTGCTGCTGCTGCTGCTGCTGCTGCTGGCGCTGTGTTACCTAAGCCCCCAATCCCTGCACGCCTGTCTGCGCGCTTTCACGAGCTGATATATGCCAAAGCTGATGCTGGGAATATCTTAGGTCTCATAAGCAACTCGTCAGCATTTTTTTTAACGAATGAAGCCGAAGATGTGCCCGCTCTGCTTCTCAGGAATAGGCGCATGGGCTTTTGTTTTGTTTCGTTCAACTGCGAGCGCTACATAGGAAGGCAGGCGCACCCTTCAACACGTAGCCTATAGCCTACTCCGCACGACAAGCCTATAGCCGAAGGAGGGCGCTCCAGAAGCCCGTTGAGACAGGGGAGTTTGAAGCAATCTCTCGTCGCCACCAGCAAGCAGTTGAGCATCAGTGGATCTCGGCTTCTTGTTTTGATCAATAAATACTACACAGATATACATATATATTATTCATTTATGTGTGTGTGTGTGTGTCCCAGTCCTATATATACCGAGCCAGGAGGATGGGGACGAGGACGAGGAGGGTGAGGAAAGGGAGTAGGCTGCTAACCGCGGCACGCGGCTTCCCTCCCTCCCCCCGCTGTCACCCCATCCCGCTCACTGCGGCAGCAGGGCTGCCAGTGGCCCCAGGTTCAGGGCCGGGCCCCCCTTCTGGGTTTCGGAGCGCAGGAAGGCCCCCACTCTAGCTGCAGTGGTTTGGGCCCCTCCCTCCACCTCGCTCTCCACATTCAGCACCAGCAGCGGGTCGTGAAGACTCTGGTAAGGAAAGGGACAAGTGGGGGGAGTGTGTGTCAGTGTGAGAGAGTGTGTGTGTGGGAGAGAGAGAGAGAGAGAGAGAGTGCGCGTGTGCGTGTGCGAAGAGCGAGCGAGGAGAGGCGGAGGCGGGGGAGGGTCACCGGTTTCGCCAAGGCCATGCGTGTGATGATGGCGGCTTCCTGAACGGTCGACTTAGGTAATCTCTACACACACCGCTGTGGTTGTACCCCTCTTACACCCCCTCCCTTTCATGCCCTGGCATGCCACTCCCCTGCGAGGGCGGGCCCCGGGACTGATTATCCCCCAGCTGATTTCCCCCCTCCACTTCCGCAGTAACCTTCCCTGAAACACACACGCCTCCACCGCAACCCCCAGCGCCCCGCCGTGCCTGTCTTAAAAGCGCCCAGCCCTTGCGCCCCTCCCCCTCGTCCACACTGACACGCCAGCCCTCGTGGTTAACCGCCTCCAACCGCCAGTCAGGATAGGTGCCGCTCAAGACTAGATCGTAGAAATGGGCCAGCACCTGTACGACGTACGACAACAATTGTACAGTACATCCTTTTATGCATACCCGTCGGTGTCTGCCTGTGTGGCGGTGGCGGACTCTCCGTACAGTCAGGATTTGCGATCCCCGGAGAGGGTGGTATGTGGGGAGATGTGAAGAAGCGCCGCCCCCCTGCCGCAACTTCAACTCCGTGAGCAAATGACGTCGATTTCCAGCCGTGAAGCCACGTGAAGGCAAGTAGGGGACATCAGGCCGTCAGGTAGCCATCAAGCAGCGCCGCCGCCGTCGGTCACCTTTAGTAGGGTTCCGATTCTCACGTCCGCCGTACTCCGCCGTACTCTGCCGTACCCTAAGAACGGCTCCTCGACACACCCGCACACATGCGCACCGCACGCCCCACCTTTGCCCCCGCCTCTTTAAAGTCCGGGTGCTGTATGCGGATGCGCCACTCCGTGCTCTCCAGCGGCTCTTGCAGCCCCGCCAGCAGCTCGCTGATTCCGCCGGCACCCTCGTTGCGGCGACGAACGTGCTCGATTATCGCCTAAGGGGGGGAAGGGAAGAGGGGGAGAGGGACGGGGGAGAGGGGCCACATGCCCAAGTGCGTGTCCATCCCCTACATATTGTCAGAGGAGTCAGACCGAGATTACCGACCTTTGACCATTCTACCCAGCGCCTTTTCTACGTACACTCGTACATACCATCGTACATACCTGCCCGTCTACATACCTCCCCGCGTTCCCATCTCGCAACCACTCCAACCGCAATCACTGCAACCGCAACCACTGCAACCACTCCAACCGCAACCGCTGCAACCACAACCACTGCAACACTGCGACCGCAACCGCAATAGCACCTACACCTACACTCGCACACGCACTCACCTTGACCGCCAGATACGCCCCATCGTCCAGAAAGTAGTTTTCCTTGAGCGCCCCGTGACCGCTTGTCTCCATCATCAGCTGGCAGTCCTCGCCATCCGAGTTGAGCTTCACACCCGCCGCAATCACGTTCTTGTAGCCTCGCTTGAAGCTGGGGACATGAAGGCACATGAACGGGGGTGTGAGGGGGGTTGTGTGAAGGGGTACGAAAAGAAGTGTGCGGGGTCGGGTACGGCAATCGGGTACGGAAAGCGAGGCTTTTGGTTGGGGCTGGATTGATGATGGGTAGGTGGGTGCGAGTGCGTGTGTGGGCAAACAGACAGACATGGAACAGACAAAGCCGTTAGGCGGCTCCAGAATCGAAGCAGGTTGATAATTGCAAAGGCAGTGTACGAAAGTTCAACACTGTAGGTATGTCCCTTTTCCCTTTTGCCTTCCGTCTTCCTTTTCTCCAAACCTCCACACCACCCACGAAAAAGGCGCTTCAAAAAGACTGATGTACAGCAGTACATTATTCGATTAACATGACCACAACCTTGCATATGTGAGAATGTGGTTTGCAACAACAACGCCACGGCGCATGAAGCGTGCCGTACCGCATGTGCTTGCCGCCCAACTGCTCGATGAATTTGGTTAGACCGTTGGAGGTTACCGAATCAGTTACGATGGTTGTGCCGGGGTGTTGACGCAGTACAACCGCCGCCATGAGCGCAATGAAGCGGTTGGAGTTGATCTCTCTACCGGCTCCGTCCACAATCGCAGATCTGGGGCGACGAGAAGAAGGTGGTGGTGGTGGTGAAGATGAAGATGATAATGGTGTTATAATGATGATGACGATGATGACCGTACATCAAGTAACAATCAGTAATATACGTCGCTGGTGTCCAACACTATTCGGAGCTCCCTTCGGTAAATATTGAAGTTATATTCTCCAGCGTATCCCCTCGACATTTCCCCCCATCATCATCATCATCATCATCATCATCGCGGCTCCGATGATCACCAAACTTTAACATACATACATACATACGTACATACATACACAGGCACACACACGCACACGCATACACATCCCTGTGTTCCCCCGGGGCCCCCTCCCCCACCTGTCCACGTCAGTGTCGAACACGATGCCCAGCTCCGCCTCCGCCGCCCGCACGGCCTCCGCCCCGGCAGCCATGGCGGCCGGGTGCTCGGGGTTGGGGGGGTGGTTGGGGAAGGTACCGTCAGGATCCAGAAACACGGATCCGCTGACGTCCGCACCCAGGGGGGCCAGAACCTGCATGCTCCCGGGGAAGAGGGGGGTGAACAAGAGGAGCCCGCAAAACACAGGATCACGGAATCTCAACCGCTGACATCTCAGCTGTAGTTTTCAGCTTGAAGAAGAAAACGACATAACAACAACAACAGGCTGAACGGCAAGGCAACCCCGAATAGTCGGGCTCCTCCTCCTCTCCCTCTCCTTCCCCTCCTCCCTCTCCCTCTCCCTCTTCCTCCCTCTCCCTCCCCTCCCGAACCATCCTAACCCTCCTCCCCTTCCTCCCCTTCCTCCCCGTCCTCCCCTTACCCCAACTACAAATCCCCCCAATCCACCCCACCCCACACCACCCCACACCACCTCCCACCCCACACCACCCGGCTGACGTGTTTTGTACCTGCTCCCCGAAGAAGCCCCCGGCTCCGTTCCCCGCATTGACCACCAGCTTGCAGCCCAGCAGGGGGAAGTGGTAGTTGGTTGGTGAGTTGACCCCACGCTTTATGAGGTCCCTCAGCGCGGCGGAGTAGGCCGGCAGGAAGGGCAGGCGGGCGAGGCGGGAGGGGTCGGTGGCCAGGGCGGCGGAGAGCAGATGGGAGTGCTCGGAAAGGGGGTCGCCTGCGGCGGCGGGAAGGGCGGGAGGCCGAGTTATGTGGGGGAAGGGGGGTTACGTGTGGGGTGGGTGGGTTATGCAGACAACATCCGTGGCCATTAATTACTAATGAAATTACCGTTATGGTCGTTATGGACACAAATACATGGCGCAGTCACACGTAGATAGATAGATAGATAGATAGATACATGTACTGTATGACAGACACACATACGTACAGACACGCACCTAACATCACTCCTGCCTGAGCCGCCGCCACCGCCGCCAGCTGAAGCAACTCGGTGATGTCGGGCTTATCCAGCCCCCCCGCGGCGGTGAAGAACTTGAGGCCGTTGGCGTTATACGGCAGGTGGCTGGCGGTTATCATTACCTAACAGGTGGTTAAGGGTTAGTGGAGGATTGTGTGTGTACGTATGTATGTTGGGGAGGGGGGAATGCCCACCCACCCACCCACCCACTGCAACTTCCATTTCTCCCCACACACACACATACATACATACATACATACATACATACATACATACATACATACATACATACATACATACATACATACATACATACATACATAAAGCAATTCTTACAGCGGAGCCAGAACGGCAAAAAGTGCTACATACATACATACATACATACATGCACACACAGCAGATCGATCCA